GACATCACTCTGGACCTTGCTGCCGGAGCTGCCGAGGCAGCGCAGCAGGGCGATGATCCCTTAGGGGACATCAGTCCGAAGAGCAACGCCAGCAGCGACAGCGAGCTGGCCGCGCCTTTGGAAGAGGAGACGACTCCCACTCGTGGATCCTTTCGAGGACCACGACAACGTCTGGGTAATGCTAGACGAAGGATGCAACCAGACCTGCCATGGTACCAAATGGCGACAACACAGTGCAGGTGTTTTGGCAAGGTATGGTTTGCAGTTCCTTAAGCAAGGGACCGCCGGGAGTTCCTTCAAAGGAATCGGCGCAGCCCGAGCGCTTGGCAAATACGCCATGCCGTTCGCTCTCCTGATCTCGCATGAGACAGGAAGACGTCGGGACATTCGCCTTCAGGGCGAATTGGCGTCCACCGAGCTGGACAGCCCCGACGTCCTTTGCCACTTGTCCCTGCAGGACCAGGTCCAGCTTGGCTTGGTCAAGGACCTGCGACGTGGCGCCGCAAAGGTGTCCGGGTACTCCGGACAGCTTCGCCTTGCGCGCCACGTGCGGACGGGTCTTCTCCTCCTGTGCATGAGCCAGTTTGGGGCGAGTGTCACAGAGAGGCACCGCAAGTTCGCGGTGGACCCGGAGGCTGTGGTGATCCCTAAGAGGACACCCAAGCGCACAGTCTCGATCCCTGCAAGGGACGAGCCAACCTCGATCCCTCAGAGGGACGAGGGCGTGACAGCGTACATGCTGTCAGAGCTGGTGCGCGACCAGGAGACCCAGCACAAGAAGGTCCTTCTGGCGACGTTCGGCCTGGAAAAGCTGGAGTACTCGCACCGCTCGCGCAAGGTGTACTCCGGCCTCACCAAGCTGATTAATAGTTTTCCGCAGCAGAAGTCCTACAACTTCTCTTTGACAGAGAAGAAACACGAGGACGTCCTGTTGGAGTCGCTGCGGACTAACTTTAGTCGCTTCCAGGACTTCACCGACCACCAGATCGTCTTCCTGGACTGCCGCGACATGCACAACCCTGACAAGGACAAGTCGACGAGAGACCATTTGGGTACCTTCCCGAAGAATCTCTACGACATGATCCAGAACCCCTGCAAGAAGCACAAATGGGAGGCATTCGCGCAGGAAGTGATCCCCGCCGTGCACAAGCTGATCCAGGATCAGGACAGCTCGGTGATCTTTTGCTTTTTGCAAGTCAGGAAGACACCGTTCGGTTGCTAACGCAAAACTCTTCCAAGAGATTATCAAAGACATGTACGCCGTCGACGCGGAGATCGCACACTTGTCAGATGGTCCAAATTGGAAGCATTTATGCGGTATATGCGACCTCTGTTCCTGGAAGGACGACGAGGCGCAGAAGCAGGCGGAGGATGCGATCGACGCTGCGGCGCAGAAGTGGCACGAGTACGTGCCAAAGATCTGGGTCCGCATGCAAGGACCGGACGCAGCGCCGCCTCGACGACAACGGCATAGTCGTCGAGGAGCCGACCCCTGACCTGCACACCTGTCCTCTTACGTTTTTTGTACTAAGCACTGTTTTTTTTGTACTTGGAAATTGCGCGGCCCCTTATTTTGTACTTGGTATCTTGTCTTCCGGATCTTGAGGGCGGGTGCCTGCCCACAGTGCCGGAAAGTACACTTGCACTTCTAGACAGAATGGCTGGTGAAGCCAGAATGTGCGAGAAACATGAGAATCAGAACGAGCTTCCATGACCAGCAGAGCGAGCATCTTGAGAATCAGAGCGAACATCATCGAGGTCAGAGCGAACATCATGAGAATCAGAAAAAAAAGCTAGAAAAATTAGAAAAGCATGTGTACATATGTATATATTATGTATATGTATATACTCATGCTAGTGCTAGCACACACATACGCCCACACACACGCGCACACAAGCACACGCACACACAAAGAGCGAGCACGAAGGAATGCATACCTACGTACGCAAGGACAAACGGACGGACGTGCACGCTCACACACTTAACACACACACACACACAGCTAGAGGGCTTAATTGTCTGGGTCAGCCGGAAGACCGGGGTGATATGATAGAGCCTCATGCGTGCCTCACGTACGTACCTAGAAACCAGTACTGATATCAATACGTACGGGATAAGCGCTTCCAGTCGCTCAGGAATTTAGGGTTTCATATAGGTTTCTGGCTTCCGGTGTACAGGGTCTGCTTGAGGTTATTTTCTTCTAAGTTTTGGGGAGTGTCGATCCCAGCTTTGAGAACCCTGGACTTGAACAAACCTGCATTAATTTAAAACCTGCTTGAGACACGTGGCCCTTGAGATATGGCCCGAGATCATTAAGTGTCGGGTTTAGGGTGTAGGTGGCATTAATCATATAAAAGTGCTAGCCCAATTTATTAACAGCCCAATATTAATTCATATATACTCATTCTAAACCTAGGGTTTATATATAGGGTTTAAGGTTTCATGGGAGTACTCGACTAAGTTCTCTTGGGTTTCGGACCGATCTGGGCAATTCAGTGGAAACCTTAGCGCAGCCCGAATGGAAGTTTCTTAACCTGTTGCGATCTAGGCGTTGTGGGTAGGGATCGGGTGTTGTTTGGAAAGTTTCGGGTTCAACCCTAAACCCTAAACCCTAAAGCCCTAAACCCTAAACCCTAAATTTTTAGACAAAGCTATAACCTGTTGCGATCTAGGCGTTGGGGTAGGGCATCGGGCGTTGTTTGGAAAGTTTCGGGTTCAACCCTAAACCCTAAACCCTAAAGCCCTAAACCCTAAACCCTAAACCCCTAAACCCTAAACCCTAAATTTCTAGACAAAGCTATATAGATCTAGGCGTTGGGGTAGGGATCGGGCGTTGTTTGGAAAGTTTCGGGTTCGGGTCTTTTTTAGACAAAGCTTGGGTTTCGGGGTGGCGATCGGGCCGATTTTTTACAGCGCATCTGCTACGTACGCGTTGAAGTGAAGCAACCACCTTTGGAGGGCACGTTTGCCCGTAGTGGCTGCATGAAGGCTTCCTTTAATCATTCTCGTAAATGCACCAATGTAGTCCTCCTCTGTAAAGCAGGCTGAATTTCTCGGATTCCAATATGAAGTATACGATCTGCAGATGATGCCACAATGCAGCTGGTGCAGCTTCGGCCGGACTTTATACCTGAGGCGCTAACGCAATATACGTGCTTCAAACGTGAATAAAAACCAAGATACCGAAATTTGAACACGAAAGGCAGAAACCGACATTCAATTCCGAACGAAAAACAAAGGCCGGCAATCCTCAAGGGCTTGCGACCCGAGGGCGACGTAGGTCTGCATGAAGAGGCGGCCACTCCTCGATCATATGCCGTCGTACTGGGGAAAGTATTCATCTATTGGTAAGTTTTCTTCGAGATGTCTGTACGTGGGGCTCGAAAATTAGAGGTTGGCTTTTTATAGCGTCGAATTATTACAGATTATATAGGGGTTCGGGCTTAAAACGTTTAGGAATTTAATTCTCTTTAGATATAATATAATTATTTCTGTAACGAGCAAGTCTGTGTGTTTTCAATGAAACAGAACTTTCTGATGCGACTGTGTATCTCTCCGAAAGCTTTCCGTTCTGACTCGGAAAACCAGAAACCAGCTCGATCACAAATGGCGCCGATGTTGTGCAGAGCCCAGGCGCACGTATACTCCATCTCCATGCCCGGAATGTCCTGGGAATTTGTGAGTTGGTGGGATTGAGATTTGGGCTGGTGGGTTTCAAATAAAACTTTCCCTTTCATACTTAAGATCTGGACGTGCTCAAATGAAACGTTGCCGAAGTCTGCCCAAGTGCTTTCAAACGATCAGCAAAGTATGCCGTCCTCACATTAATTTGAAAGCAGGTGCTAGTGTTCATAATATCATACCACACTATATGGGAGACAAACAAACTGCTATTTTTATTTGCAGGTCGAGGCTCATTATCTTGTTTTCGTACCCCTTGGCTGGGCCATTTGGGTAATCCAGGGACACGGCGTCTACGCCCATTCTCGACAAGCCTCGACCCAGTGTTGCCAGGAATTGTCCCGAGAAAAGAAGCAAACCAAACAAAAGGTACATTCTATATACGGACATATGAAATCAATTTCGAGGACAGGCTCTGATTTCATCGATTGTCGAAGCCCTGATTCCGTTGTTTTGGCACCACAGCTGCATGTCCTGTCGAAGTTCTGCGAAACGCTCGTCCCACGTGGAACCCTTATAAAACTTCGAGGCCAGCAGCATGCACAAACTTCCGTTGAGATCGCGGGCTGACCCCAACCAGCAGCAGTGCAGGAGGTCAGGAACCTCCATTTCAGGTCGCCATCCAGAAAGGTTTTTCAAGTGGATGTCGCCTACAGCAGTGGCAAGCGCGGCTTCTACATCATCCTTGTTGTTGAACTGTTCATACACAGGGTCCAACCATGTACTTTTCGAAGCCAGGCACCTGGGGCAGAGGCCTTGGGGACCAGCAGCATTACCATAAAATCTGGTTTGCTTCAACCACTCCTTTCTGTACTTCCAGTCGCCTTTCCCCGAAACGATATGGAGAGTAAAGCCGAGGCCGTTATCCTTGGAGGCACACAAGTTTAACGAATCCACCAAGCTTGCTTGCAAATGGTCCAGAGAAACATTGTCTCCATTTGCATCGAAGTGCATCGCATCGCTCTTCATGACCTGATAGGTCCAACCAGTACTGTTTGGGGATTTGCCAATCCATATAGAATCTAGAACTAAATGATCTATGGATATATACAGTACATCTAATTTATAGAAGTCGAAAATACAAAAACTTGAGTAGTACCTAGCCGTACAAACAAAACAAAGATCCTGTAAAAGACAAGAAACGACGTAGGGAAACTTTGTGACAAAGGGTATTCCAGAGTTTCCTAGCGGTGACCAGTTGATCACGAGGGCGTTGCGTGTCCGCTTTGTTTGCCCCTCGTCGCCGTGTACCGTTATGGCAAACGCTTTGGATTTGCTAGCATCATCCCATTGCTGAACAGGGTGGGACCTTCGCTTTAACCAACTCAGAAAAGATCTTAATGATAGAACCAAAACATTAAAATACAGATTGAAGCATGCTGCGCACCCCAATCCTCGGAAGCAGCTTGCTTCCAAAATGCCAGCCAATCGACGGGTCCACTGAGCCTTAGATCGAACCGACCGTGAACCTTTCGAAATGGCAAACACTTCGAATGCAACCAAAAAGCTCACGAGTACATGTTTTGAGACAAGCTGCAGTTCATCTACCAATCCTGCAGCCTTTATGGCTTTGCAAACATCAAAGGGCATAAGGGTAGGCCACATCTGGAACCGACTTGCCCGGGGTGCAGCGAGCTTGCTTTTCTTTTTTGGGGCAGCAATCTTCAGTTTCAGACCTGAAGCCGCTCGCAGAAGACTGCGCCGCTTAAAGCTAGCACTTCGTTTTCGGGCACGTTGCAGATCCATCTTCACATCCTTGAGGAGCACGGAAACATTCGTCAGGGAAACCTTCAAAGCGGCCTCAGATTTTCGCTTAATTTTGAGTCGACATATATACTGGATCCGAACGTAGACACAGAGAGCACTCCACATGAACTGTTCAGGATTTTGTCAACAAAAACGACACAAAACGAACTCCGGACGAGATCGGTTCACATTTCTGTACAATCCATACTGCAGACGGGGCACATCTGAAGCGGACCTTGCAGCCCGATGTAACGTCTCTTCGATATGGTCGGGTCGTTGCCCTGCTTTCCCCATGCCAGACATCCAGGCAGTGCCTAGGAGCATTCTGTACAAATCGCACAAAACTTTTATCTTGGGTTTAGGGTTTATAGGGTTTAGGGTTTAGGGTTCAGAAATAAAGAGATTGACCCCAAATCGGCCAAACGACTCCGCGAAACATTCTTGATGCCCGACTCGTGCACGGCTGCTGCTGCAACCCTTTGCATGTCGTGGGCTGCTTGCCCCTTGCCAACATTGCTAGAAAGCACACGAGTCAAAGGTGACGTCTTGAAAGAGAAAGCATTCGATCTCACAGCAGCAGGTTTTGAATCCCGCCAATCAGACTCTCGCAAAGAAGCCTCGCGCTGTTTCGCAAGCCGTGTAGCAAACTTCAGCATCGCACATGTTGCAGCACAGCAGCATCATGATGATTTGTAGTGATATTAAGTCTAAAGGAAAGTGGTTTTGAATTATTGGGTTTCTGGATTTGGTCTGGGAAATGATTAGCCATATATGGGCGGGAGATTTGAGAGTTAAAGTGCTGAGCATGTCCCCTTCTGTGAGCGATCCTCTACAACATTGACCCTAAAACTGGAGTGTGTCGCAACGGCAATCTTCAATCTCAAGGTGTGCAAAGCACATGCTGACATATGGAGCAACAGCCAGCATGCAGTTGGAAGTGTCAAAACTTTCTTGAGAGCACCCTCGGTCACGAAAGCTTGTCTTCTGGAACTCTAGAGCTCCCCCAAGCCTCCACTATGTTGATCTATGCCCGCTAACAGGTTGGCCAGCTAGTGAGCCCGAACATAGCTTGATCGAGGCCTTTGCTAGCTCATGAAAATCAATCATGCTCTGCATTTAGAGAGCATGACCGGCACAGCCACACCTCTAGCCCTCGAGCCCTAAGACGAAGATAAAGGTAGCAATGCTTAGGTATACAGCACAAACTATAGAATAGGTATGAAATAAGGTCCCTCTGTGGGTATACGTAACCGATAATTCTCAGAACAAGCGAAGACTCTATGAGGTGAGGCTGCCCCCCAAAACAAAAGCACGGCATGATGCCTAGCCCTGAACCGGCGGTGCCGCCGGTGCCGCCGCTTTGGCTTTCTTCTTGGGTTGGCTCTCCTTCTTCTGCTGGCTGATCCTGGGCGCTTAAGTTTAGGGTTGTGAAGTTTCCATAAGGTCTATATATAGTTGCATATAGAGTTTCGGGTTTTAAGTTTGCAGGGTTTCGGCTTTCAAGAAGGTGTTTGGCTTTTCGGGAATTATTAGTTTTGAGACTTTGTAGTTTTGAGATGTCCAGGGCACCTGCCAGGGCTTCAGAATCTTTAGTTCTAGTATATTGGTTTGGGTTCCCAGGGTTTTTGCTGCTCTGGTTTTGGGATTTCAGATCTCAGGGGTTGCGGGGTGCGACGTTGTTTTGGATTTTGGGCGTCTGACTACGGGCTCAACAATATTTGTGCTTCCTACCTCGTCACCACACCCCGGGGCTTGGAAACCGGATACCCTACATGTATACATTCAAACAAACATCTATATGTATTTACATCAATATACCACGTATGTATATATATATATACTCAATAGGCAGCCCCAATCCCACAAAGTTTCGATGGTCTAGTCCCACCTCAAGATCCGACTTGTTAGGTTTTCAAGCAAGACAGTTTTTCGACTTTGGGATTTAGGGTTTAGAGTTTAAGGTTTGGGGTGTAGGGTTTAGGGTTTTGGGGTCTAGGCTCAGGGTTTAGGGTTCAGGGTTAGGGTTTAGGGTTCAGGGGTTTAGGGTTCAGGGGCTGATATAGAGTTTAGGGTTTCGGGTTTAGTCCTTAGCCTTAGTCCTTAGGTCCTTAGGTTTTTCCCACCCGCTTCACTGACCAGGTCACACTGCAGTCCTTAGATGTAGGGTTTAGGGTTTAATAGGGATAGGGTTTAAGTTCATATGTTGGACTATTCGATACCTACAATTAAAATACAATCGAATCGAGGTTGCATGAAAGCTTCAGACTGTTTGCCACCTTCGTGTGCTTCTTGAAAGCGATGACATACGGCTCAGCCTGGAACCATGTTTAATTCAGGGACTTAAAATTAACCCTCGAGACTATGTGGGTTGGGCCTGGGTCAGGATTGTCTGGACGGCAAACGTATCCGGTTTGTCTCCCAAAGACCGTAAAGCTTTTCGCTTCTCAGCCAAGCCATTCGAGGCATCGCGGATCAAACCGATCAGCTTCTCTTGGCTTTCGAGCGCTTCGAGCCTTAAGTATGAAGCAAAACAGTGATTCCACGAACTGAAAGCAGCACAACCTAGAGTTTTTGCAACAACGTAACTCGGCAGTCGTGGTGGTGGCCTTTCCCTCGGCACTCGTGCATGCTGTCACCCAGGCAGCAATGAAACCTTTGAGATCTGTATCCGGAAGCAGCTGGACCTCCAGCTCGGAGCCCTGGCACAGACTGGTGTTGGCTAGGCTTATATAGGGTTTTATGTACGTACAAAAATTCATTCCGGGCCTCTTTCTTGGCTGGTCGGGCCTTCTTCTTGGGGACTTCGGTTTCGATTTTGGGGGGGGGCAGCGATTCAGCGCCGAATCCCTGACCGGAGTTGGATCTGCTGGGAGGGGCGTGGCCACTCTTATTCGGGTCACTCGCAGCGTTGAAATTCTCCATGAGCTCCAGGGCGAACTTTGGATCGGCACCCAGGGACACTGAAATCTCGTCCTGACATGCATTGTACATGTACGGGCTGTGTACACTTCCATGCGTATTGTAGCCTGGTCTCCAAGCTGCGCTGTGTCACACAACGTCGTTCCCGCTGGTAGAACAAGTACGTCTTGACATCTGGATTGTTGCGGCAACACGATGTCCTCAGCATACCCGAGATCCACCAATTAACTAATGCAACACGGCTCCACAAACTAAAAGCTACCTCAGTGTACGTGGGGTTGTGGTTTGTAGGGCCTCAGATCGATGTAGGTTTCATTAAACTAGTTTCGGGCTCTGCTTTGGGGCTTGTAGGGATTGACGAAGTACTCGATCGGGCTTTGGTTTGGGGCTTGTAGGTTTGATGTTCGGGGTCAGGGGCTTGATGGGCTTGATTGTTTCACTGATACTCGACAAGAGAGAGAGGACTGATAGAGAGTGAGAGATTTCGAGAGAGTGCGTATCGACAAGCTACCCCTTGGGTTGCTCTTCTCGCATCTTGCAGAAGGCATCGGCCTTCACCTGATCTTTGAAGAACTCGCAGATTTCGTTGTACGGGTAGTAATGTCCTGCAGACATATACCCTAGACCCTAAACCCCTAAACCCCTAAACCTCTAAACCCTAAACCCCTAACCCCTAAAACCTAACCCTAATACATATATATATATATAAATATAAGGATTAGGGGTTGGATTAGGGTTTAGGGTTTAGGGGTTAAGGGTTTAGGGTTTAGAGGGAGCATATTGAAGACAGATTGAGAAAGTGTGCATCTGCATAGATGCGACCCCAGCTAGAAGCCTTGCCTTCGTCCTGCTGGAGATCCTCCTGTTGCTTCGAGAACCGTAGGACAGCCTCCAAAGCAAGTCCATTGCCTCGGGGGTGACATTATATCAGGCAAATTATAGCTAATATTTTAGAGCACACACGATGCTAGGAATCAGGCTAGCTAATTTCAACCCAAGCCACACCCTGCACGGACAAACTTCGCGAAAGCTTGCATCTTGAATGCGCCGCCTTTCCTGTGTATATGCATGCAAGCGACAGACTGCATTCCGCAATTCAGAACACATCGACACAACACATCTCAGAATCCGGCGCGTAAGCGGCTTTGAGCTCGTTTGCAGCGGGGTTGGACTCGCAGAAACGGCCAAACTCTTTGTACTCAGCGGGGTGCGTGGATGAGTTGATGCGATTCGGGTTCGGGGGTGTCGGGCTCACAGCTTTGGCAGAAGGAGTATCCAGTGCCGCAGGAGTAGCAGGAGTGCTTGGCGGGGCCGGAGCACTAGCAGCAGGAACCACTGCCGTTGCTGGCGTTGTGTTGGCATTCGGGGATTCCTTGGGCGGTGGTGGGCTAGGCTGTGGAGTGATGGCTTGCACCATTTGCAAGGCCACCCTTTCGATAAGAGCCGCGATTTCAGGGGTGACCTGCTCTGCAGCCAACGTGCTCTGAGGTGGGGGAGCAGCGCTCGTGGCCTCTGCACCCGGGATCGACACCTGGACTTGCACACTGGGCTCTGTTAAGTAGGTAGGGTTCGTGCTTCATCTGCATCTTAAAGTTTAGGGGGTCTCTCTATACATTATATATATATATATTATATATATATGTGTATACTTTCGTCGTTTGTAGGGTTTAGGAGTACTAGATATAGGGATACGGTATTGGCTTAGGAGTTTTTCTTCTGCTTAGAGGTGAGTTACGGATGTTGGGGTATGGCTGGGGTCGGTACAACGGTGTCAGCGGAGCTTGGCAATTCTGCTTGCATTGTGGTCAAGGATTCAAGGACTATATTGATGTAGCAGAGGTGTCCGCCGGGTAGCCGGGTAGCCCCTAATATAAACCCTAAACCCTAGATAAATCGTGTAATCAGGGTAACAAGTATAAGTCTAGGACTAGGATTGGCTTGATATGGGTCCGGGCACCTGCTTGGAATTCCCGAGGTCGGCGTCCGGTGTCGATGTCTTGGCATCCTTGTCCTTGTCGGTAGACCTTAATGTGCAAATTTTGGTTATTGTAGCTATAGCATCATGCAATGGAAACGTGAGCTTAAGCTGAGCTACTCCCAGCTTTTGGATCGCATCCTGTTCCAAAACGTTTTGTACTTCTTGACTTCATCATCAGACAGCTGCGGGAGTTCGCACTCGTCTTTCTTCGGCGGGGGGACCTGCCATATGAGTACAATCACGTGTTTCCATAATTGACCCCTGTGAACACCCGGACCTGCCTTCCTCGCTGCACGACCCTTGGGCGCCGGTGGGGGTGTGCTGGCTGTCATAGCAGCAGATGCATCCGCAGGCAATATCCCCTGCAGGACAGCTAGGTTCTATATATTAGGCTGAGGACTCTGTATTTCTCTGTGTCTGTCTGTTGTAATTTAGAATGTATGTCCAGCCCACATATGTGTATTATATATATATATTGTACAATTTATGTATAAGCTAGGTGCACGTATGTATTGTATGTATTGTAATTATATGTATCTTACATGTATGTATGTATGTATGTATGTATGTATGTATGTATGTATGTACGTACACATGTACGTATGTATATGTACGTATGTATATGTACGTATGCAGGCACAATATCACATGTGTTTTCAACAACAGCACCTTGTAGACACGACCTTCAAGGCTGTCGTCAGAAAAGGAAGCAGCAGTAGTAAGCATTGACATAGAAGACATAGAACGAGCGGGTGCAGCAGCTGCCTCGGTGCCAGCCTCCTTGTCCTTCTCTGCTTGAGCCTCTTTGTCTTCCTCCTCCCTGATTCTGCGAAGCTCATCCTTCATCGCTTGCTCCTGAATTTCGGCCAACTTCAGCGCCATGGCCTGCCGTTCTCTTGCCTCTTGCAACTTTTGTGCACGTTGCGCCTTACGATTCTCCTCTGCGGCCTGGAGTGCTTTCTGCTCCTCAGACAACTGTGCCAGCTTGTCGGCCTCGAGACGTTTCCGCTCCTCTGCGGCCAGACGTGCTTTCTGCTCCTCTGCTGCCCTAGCGGCCTCCAAACGTTTCTGCTCCTCTGCGGTCAGACGTGCTTTCTGCTCCTCTGCTGCCCTAGCTTCTGCCTCCACGCGTTTCTGCTCCTCTGCAGCCAGACGTGCCTTCTCTTCCCGAAGACGTGCCTGGACTTCGGCCTCCACCAAACGTCTTCGCTCCTCTGCTGCCCTAGCTTCGGCCTCCAAACGTTTCTGTTCCTCTGCAGCCAGACGTGCTTTCTGCTCCTCTGCTGCCCTAGCTTCGGCCTCCAAACGTTTCTGCTCCTCTGCAGCCAGACGTGCCTTCTCCTCCTGAAGACGTGCCTGGACTTCAGCCTCCAGACGTTTCTGCTCCTCGGCCGCCTCGCGGGCTGCCTTAGCTTCGGCCTCCCGACGTTGCTGCTTCTCTGCAGTCTCGCGTGCTTTCTGCTCTTCCGCAGCCTTCATAAGCTTTTGGATCGACTCGCGTTCACGTTCATCCTGCTCCCGGGCTTTCCGCTCCTCAGCAGCACGGGCCAAGCGCTCCCGATGGGCCTTGGTTGCTGCAGCTGCTTCCGTAGCCTTGCGCTCAGCAGCCGCAGCCTCTAGCAAAGCCTGCTTTAGCTCTTCATCCTCATTGTCGTCGTCGATGGAAGCTTTTTCAAAAGCAACCATGAGATCCTTGTCCAGCGAATCCAGATCGCCAGTGGATGACAAGCTCAGCAGGCTTTGGCTGCGTCCATGCAGCTGTAGGGTCGTGGCATCGGAGATCACTGTCTCCGAGCTTTCCCCTTTCCCGAACGAAACAGGCTCCGGCGCCCCATCCCACTCCAGTGTGTCCGCTCTCGAAGGGTCCACGGAAGCTTGGGTATCCTGCAAGGTCTGAGTCTCGAGGAAAGCAGACTGAGCGGGGGTCTTCAAGATGCCAGGCGGAGGCACGGCGGAGGCTGGCAACTTCGCAGAAGCCTTTCCGGCCGCATCCTCCGGCTCCTTAAAGGTAACCGTCGGTCGGGTTGTCTTCTCGCTGCTCTCTGGGCTGGGAGCACTCACTTTCGGGGAAGGTGTCGTCGGGCCTTTCGGGGAGGGTGTTGTCGAGGCCGGGGAGGGCGGTGTCGGGCCGTCTGCTGTTGTCTTGCAAGCAGGTGCTTTGGCTTTCGGTGCTGCAGGTCCATTTGCCCCAGCAGTCAGCAAAGCAGACCTGATATGGTATGGTATGGCATGATAATGGTATTGCAGTATGGTATGGTATGGTGTGGTATGGTATGGGGTATGGTATATGGTACGGTATGGTACAGTATGGCAGGGTATGGTATGGTATGTTATGGTACATGGTACATTTTGTTATGTTTGGTCATGTTATGTGTAGTTGCATGTACGTATTTGCATGTATACACATGTATGTATGTATGT